ATACACCGAATCTCAAGAGACCCTGAATGGAAAAACAATCTAAAGTTGAAGGTCTCATACTTCCTTATTTAAAAACTTACTAAAAAGCAAAACTAATAGTAAGAGTATGGTACCAATATAAAGACAGACAGAAACACCAGTGGAAAAGACGTCAGCAATAAACTCTTGCATATACAGTGAAATGATGTGCATTAACAATAAACTCTTGCATATACAGTCAAGATTCCTCAATGAGGGAAAAGCAGCCTCTTGAAAAAAAGATGTTGAGAAAATCAGATACCCACATGCAAAAGAATGTAGTTGGACTGCTGCATGAACCCATGTAAAAAATTAACTCAAAAGAGAACAAAGATCTAGGGACTTCCCTGGTGGTCCAGTGGTTAAGAATCCACCTTCCAAAGCAGGGAAAGTGGGTTCGATCCCTGGTCGGGGAACTAAGATCCCACATGTCGTGGGGCAACTAACTCCACACACTACAACTATTGAGCCCGCGTGCCACAACTAGAGAGAAGCCTGTGCGCCACAACGAAAGATCCCACGTGACACAACGAAGATACCACATGCTGCAACTAAGACCCAACACAGCCAAATAAATAAATAAATAAATAATTTTTAAAAAATAGAACAAAGATCTAAACATACAACCTAAAAGCATAAAACTCCTAGAAGAAAACATAGGAAAAAATCTTAATGGCACTGGATACAGCAATGATTGAGAACATACGACTGCAAAAGCACAGCAAACGGAAGTAAAAACAGATAAATTGGACTACATCAAAATTACAAACTATTGTGCATCAAATCACATTCAGTAGAGTGAAAAGACAATCTGCAGAACGGGTAGAAAATATTTGCAAATCATGTATGTGATAATGGGTTAATAGTGAAAATATATGAAGAACTGTAACAGTCTGGTCACCAATTTCACAATGAAGGGCCATTCCCCAATTCAACCACCCACGCATTACAAAAAAAAACAAGAACACTAAGAATACCATAAAAATATGAACCTGCTGACTAAATAAATAAAAGTCAAGTTCATTTATAACGCATAGAGGGACTTCCCTGGTGGCACAGTGGTTAAGAATCTGCTTGCCAATGCAGGGAACACGGGTTTGCTCTCTGGTCCGGGAAGATCCCACATGCTGCAGAGCAACTAAGCCCACAAGCCACAACTACTGAGCCCATGTGCCACAACTACTGAAGCCCGTGTGCCTAGAGCCCGTGCTCTGCAACGAGAAGCCACCACAATGAGAAGCCCATGCACCGCAACGAAAGTAGCCCCCCTTGCCGCAACTAGAGAAAGCCCACAAGCAGCAACGAAGAACAAATGCAGACAAAAATAAATAAATAAGTAAAAATTTACTTAAAAAAAAGAAAAAACAGTACTTCATTGAAGGCATCATTCAACTTCATAAGCTCTCTCATTAAGACACTTCAAAATGGGCTTCCCTGTTGGCGCAGTGGTTAAGAACCCACCTGCCAATGAAGGGGACACGGGTTCGAGACCTGGTCCAGGAAGAGCCCACATGCCGAGGAGCAACTAAGTCCGTGAGCCACAACTACTGAAGCCCGTGCACCTAGAGCCAGTGCTCTGCAAAAAGAGAAGCCACTGCAATGAGAAGCCTGCGCACCACAATGAAGAGTAGCCCCCGCTTGCCTCAACTAGAGAAAGCCCGTGTGCAGCAACGAAGACCCAACGCAGCCAAAAATAAAATAAAATAAATTATTTTAAAAACACACACACACACACACACACACACACACACACACAAAGATGCTTCAAAATAGTATTTGTTGGGCTTCCCTGGTGGTGCAGTGGTTGAGAGTCCGCCTGCCGATGCAGGGGACATGGGTTCGTGCCCCGGTCTGGGAAGATCCCACATGCCACGGAGTGGCTGGGCCCGTGAGCCATGGCCGCTGAGCCTGCGCGTCCAGAGCCTGTGCTCCACAACGGGAGAGGCCGCAACAGTGAGAGGACCACATACTGCAAAAAAAAAAAAAAAAATAGTATTTGTTGAGGTTGGATAAACAATGACACGTACACGGTATGAAAACTGTGGAATGAACAGTTTAGTCAAGAGAACCAGAGATATGAGGATGTGAACTTGGACAATGCTGACCCAAGGAGAAATTCCTATACCATTTATTGAGGCTCCAAGGGGATGATGACTAGTATATGTGAAAAACATTGTCACAGTTGCTCTTGAGACACGCTTTTGTGATACTCCTCAAAACCAGAAAAAAAAAAACTGGAAACACTTATCAGTCAAGTGTTTCTTTGTGGGTTTTTTTTTTCTAGCCATGCAGCATGTGGGATCTTAGTTCCCTGACAGGGGATTGAAACTGCGCTCCCTTCATTGGAAGCACAAAGTCTTAACCACTGGACCACCAGGGAAGTCCCCCCACAAGCTCCTGTGATGCTTTCTATTTCAGTATCCTAGGACATGCTGACTACTCTAGTGAATAGCTTCAAGTGGTGCTTCTGTATGTAGCAGAATAATATTGCGACGAATTAGTAAACATATCTCCATCAAGAATGCTATGTTTCCAGACTTCACTGATGGCGTAGTGGTTAAGAATCCGCCTGCCAATGCAGGGGACACGGGTTCGAGCCCTGGTCCAGGAAGATGCCACATGCCACAGAGCATCTAAGCCCGTGCGCCACAACTACTGAGCCCACGTGCCACAACTACTGAAGCCCACACGCCTAGAGCCTGTGCTCCGCAACAAGAAAATCCACTGCAATCAGAAGTCCGCGTACCACAACGAAGAGTAGCCCCCGCTTGCCGCAACTAGAGAGAGCCCACATGCAGCAACGAAGACCGAACACAGCCAAAAATAAATAAATAAATTAATTAATTAATTTAAGGAAAAAGAATGCTATGTTTCCAAGTAAACCCACTCCACAGGAGAGTGAAGTTATTCAACACCTAAAGACGGCTTACCACAACAACAAACAAACAAAAGGATGAAATATCAAATACCTAAGAATGGGTATTTTAAAAGCAGTTTCAGAGGCAAAATCATGCAAACTAAAGAAAATATGACATCAACAAGAGTCTACATTCCCAGACTAAGTAGAGAGGTAAAAGAACAAGAAAAATACAATATATTGGGGTCAGATATTATAAAACTTTAACACGGGACCATGGGCTCTACCCATAGTCGCCAAGCTCAGAGATTCATATATGCTCCCCATGTGGGATTGGGGATCAAAGAGCATCTCTTCGTCCATACTGTTTATAGTTTTCCTAAGTAACAGTTACAGAAGATCCAACCCATTTCCCCATTACACACACCCAGAGGTATGTGGCAAAAGCAGAACAGAAGAAATGGCTGAGGGGGAATTCCCTGGCAGATTCACTGGTTAGGATTCCGGGTTTTCACTGCCACGGGCCCAAGTTCAATCCTTGACTGGGGAACTAGGATCCTGCAAGCCACACGGCACAGCCAAAAAGAAAAAGGAAAAACGAAAACAAAAAACGAAGAAATGGCTGAGGGATCTGAATGGCAGACATGACCTGAAACAGATCCATGCAGGTTCTGAGATGCCAGATGGAATCAAAGAGCAGCCACTGTTTTCCCATCATTTAATTAGTTCTTCCAAGTACACCAAACTGAGACAGGTCCAGGGGTTTGGACTATGGAGGCCTCAGCTCTTATCTCTATGGACTAAAAATTGAAAATCCCATGCAATCAAGTATAGAAGAAGAGACCAAGAGGGAAACAGATTCCTTTGAAACAGCTCACCACGTGCTACTCAAATCAAGCAACAAGACCCAGACGGCAGAGTGTAGATCACGATAAAGACCTTGCCTTTGATTCTACTGGAGCTGCAGCACCACAGGGAGGTGAAAGGATGAATTTTACACGTTGAAGGATAGTGTGCTATGTTGGGGAGAAGAAAAATTTCCCCTGAGAAAAGTTCATAAGTAATAAACTTAGAATTTCCTAAAGAGCTCTCCAAACACCATTAATGGTGTGGCTTCCTCTCTGCCCATCTGAGTTCTGACCTGTGTTCATACTTTTGATACATCCCCAGCCATTGTTTTTTTGCTATTTTCATGCCACTCTGCACAGTCAAGGGCTCTTCCTCTTGCTCCAAAATGCAAATAATATTGAGGTCAGGAACAGAAATAACTACCGAAAAGAGAAAATAAATAATATGTTGTAGGTTTTCCAGAATCCCAGCTCTTTGATCAGCACAGGAGTGAGCACACAACAAATGGATCTCAAACAATATTTCACAAATTCATTCATTCACTGCTTGCCTCCTTCTGAATGCAGAGAGAATAGTATAATATGCAGATAACTGGCTTTCTTCCAAGAAGTAGTGACTCAGGGCTTCCCTGGTGGTGCAGTGGTTAAGAATCTGCCTGCTAATGCAGGGGACACGGGTTCGAACCCTGGTCCAGGAAGATCCCACATGCCGTCGAGCAACTAAGCTCCTGTGCCACAACTACTGAGCCTGTGCTCTAGAGCCCGCGAGCCACAACTACTGAACCCGTGAGCCACAACTACTGAAGCCTGCACACCTAGAGCTTGTGCTCCACAACAAGAGAAGCCGCCACAATGAGAAGCCTGCGCCCTGCAATGAAGAGTAGCCCCCGCTTGCCACAATTGGAGAAGGCCCACGTGCAGCAATGAAGACCCAACGCAGCCAAAAATAAAAATTAAAATAAATAAATTTATTTTTTTAAAAGATAGTGACTCAAAGAACAGCGGTATGAAATAGGGAATCAGATATTTTAAGTTTCCAATTGGGCTTTATCAATACTTAAGCTCTGGAACAACTCCTGGTGTATCATGAAGTGGGCAGATCACCAGAAGAAAGGACAACGTTAAACTCCTGACACTACACCATGAAGCTTTTCATGTCTGAGTCAACAGGGCTTCGAGCTCAGTGAAGCAATGCAGGGACTCCCAAAAGGTACAGAAGGGAAAATGCAAAGATACATAAGGGCAGATCCCAATGTCTAGAGGGAAGTTATCCTCACCCAGGGAGACCAGGTTCTTGTAGGTCTCCAACATCACATCCCTGTACAAGGCCCTCTGAGCAGGGTCCAGGCATTCCCACTCCTCCTGAGAGAATTCAATGGCCACATCCTTGAAGGTCAACTGTTCCTGAAATGAAAACACATTTCAACAAGGGGCCATGAGGAGAGTCCTTATTTTCACACAAAATGAGAAGAGGAGAGAGGGGTAAGGATCAATTCAGTTGAAGTATGTATTCTGACAGATCCATGTTAATGTATTTAGAGCAAATGATGGGTCTCAAATTTTAATTTCTTATGCTTTTTCATAGAGATTATAATATCTTCCATTCAATATGGATTTTTCATTTTTTTGGACAATACATGAAATGCATACAAATAAAATTCAACAACAGGATGTCCAGGCAGAAGTGTTAGATATGATGTTTCACACGCTGAGTGATATTCAATATTTAGAGGAGCTACAGTATGACTGGTGTCTTCAGAGATGACAAGTCCACAGTGGCTTTACAGAAAAGTCAAAATCTTAAATTATGATGATGATACCAAGAGCAATGACTAAAGGTGTCTGAATGCTTCCTATATGCTAAGTATTACTCTAAATGTTTTACATGTATGAACTTGTTATCAACATAATAGCTCATTAGAGAAAGTCCCATTTTTATTTTTCAGAGGAGTAAACTGTGTCCAAGACACTCTAAGAAACTTGCCTCAGAACAAACAGCTAGGAAATGGCACTGCAAGCATGAAAACTCAGGTGGAAGATAAAACTCAGGTATCTTCTGTACGACGAAGAAGCTTTGTAAATAAAATCTTAACATTTTGGGTCTATTAAAAAAAAAAGAAAAAAGCACATAGCTAACATCAAAATCAATGGTAAAAGATGAAAGCTTTTCCTCTAAGGTCAGAAAGAAGGCAAAGATGTACACTCTCTGCACTACTTTTCAGCAACGTACTGCAATACCCAGCCAGAGCAATTAGGCAAGAAAAATACAGAAGTAAAATTATCTTTTTTTTGCAGATGACAAGATCTTATATGTACAAAACCATAAAGATACCACAAGAAAAATGTTATAAATAAAAAAGATATTAGAAAAGTTGCAAGATACAAAATCAACACACAAAAAAATCACTGCTTTTCTATACACTCAAAATGAATAATCTGAAAGGAAACAGACAATCATTTTTACTATAGCATCAACAAAAAAAAACACTTGGTAGTAAATTTAGCCAAAGAGGTGAAAGACTTGTACACTGAAAACTACTAAACTCTGCTAAAAAATAAACAGAAACACATCCCCTACTCATGAATTGGAAGACTTAATGCTAGAATTCATATGGGATTTTAAGGGATTCCAAGTCGACAAAACACTCTTGAAAAAGAAGAAAGATGGATGCCGTGCTGTTTTAGATTTCAAAACATATTAAAGGGCTTCCCTGGTGGCTTAGTGGTTGAGAGTCCGCCTGCCGAGCAGGGGACACGGGTTTGTGCCCCGGTCCGGAAGGATCCCACATGCCGTGGAGTGGCTGGGCCCGTAGCCATGGCCGCTGAGCCTGCGCCTCTGGAGCCTGTGCTCCGCAACGGGAGAGGCCACAGTGGTGAGAGGCCCGCGTACCGAAAAAAAAAAAAAACATATTAAAAAGCAAAATAGCATGGCATTGGCATAAACAGATATTTAAACGAATAAACCAGGGATTTCTCTGGTGGTCCAGCAGGTAAGACTCCATGCTCCCAATGCAGGGTTTGATCCCTGGTCCAGGAACTAGTTCCCACATGCGTGCCACACTAAGAGTTTGCATGCCACAACAAAGAAGTCTGCATGCCGCAACTAAGAAGTACGCATGCCACAACTAAAGATTCCACATGTCACAACTAAACATGTCGCAATGAAGATCCCGCGTGCCACAACGAAGACCCAGTGCAGCCCCAAAATAAATACATAAATTAAAAAAAAAAAATGAATAAAACAGAACATTCAAAAGTAAACCCCTGCACATACGCCAACTAATTTTTGACAAGGATGCTAAGACTACACAATGCGGAAAGGACAGTCTCTTCAACAAATGCTGCTGGGAAACGGAGTATCTACCAGTAAAAGAATGAAGCTGAAACATTACCTGCATCAAACTTAAAAAACCTTCTGTGTGTCAAAGGACACAGTGAGTAGTGTGAAAAGACAACCCCAAAGGAATGAAGGTGATGAAGATGATTTAAAGAATCTCTAAGTGTCAGAGACTTAGGTTGATTTCATAGTTCAAAATCAGTGATGGAATAAAACACCCTCTATCACTGATGTCTCTGAACTTTCCATTCCATTCCCAATGATTAAGATTTTGAATGAAGTACACTCATTTAGCTTCAAGTGTACTAAAACAGTCAGAACTGATTTCCCCTTATTGGTCTATGTTCTAGATTTTACCAGGTATTTGTACATATTACTGTGTGACTTCCACGTGCAGCTTCTTTATCAGGGTTTACAGAGAGTGGACGTTACAACCAGATGGGGCCCCTAAGCAATCCCTGCTGCCCAATAGCACTGACACGGTGTCTCCAACTCATGGGTGTGAAGCCCTGCCCAGGACTATGCCTAGTGGAGACTCTAAGTGGAGATGACAGGCCCTGAGGGAAGCCCCCTGGTGAGTGTGAATGTATAGGTGTCAGGCTCAGAGTGAGAGATTAGCGAGTCCAAAGAAGGGCATTTCAGGAAGGACAGACAGAAGAAACAACTGAGAATATGACTTTACCTGAGAAAGAGCCATTTCTGACTCCTTTTCTTTCCTCTTCCTCCTCTTCCGGGCTTCTTACCCAGGTAGCAATACTCTTTAGATGTTGACCCTGAAAGTTGGAAACATGCCGTTTAATGCTTGGAATCAACACACCTCCTTCCTGAGTCACCACCACACACACAGGGAAGCCCTCAGCATGTGGAACAGACGGTCCTCTGCTGCCCACTGTCCCAGGAGGGGTTCAGGACAGTAACTCCCACACAGAGACCAAAAGGTGAGTTTTCCCACCCTTTCCTTCAGTTCAGGCTCCCCTCCTGGTGAGGCCCTCACGTACACAGCAGCAGCGGGCACCTCAGCTGGACCCGACGATCCCCTTCAGGTCACAGACCAGCCCTGATCCATCCCCACGCAGAGCAGAGCCCTCACCCTCAGCCCAGATCTCAGCCCTCAGGAACGGGAGGACCTGGAGCCACGATGCTCAAATGGATACAAATTAGAATCACCCAGGGAATTTTAAATATTACTGAGGCTGGGCCAAACCTCAACTATTTGAAGGGGAATATCTGGTCAGGGGACACAAAACATATGTGCAAAATGCATCAGCAATCTAATGGGAAGCCTGGGTTAAGCACCACTCAGAGGAATCAAGCCCAGCACACCTCTCACTCTGTCTTTTCCAGCTTTACTGAGGTATAACTCACTAATGAAAATGGTATATATTATATATATGGTGTACATGTGATCATTTGACAGGCATATGCAGTGTGAAATATTTATCACAATCAAGGAATTAACATATCTATCAACTCACAATTACCATTTTTCATGTCTGTACGGTGAGAACACTTAAGATTTACTCTCAGGACTTCCCTGGTGGCGCGGTGGTTAAGAATCTGCCTGCCAATGCAGGGGACACAGGTTCGAGCCCTGGTCCGGGAAGATTCCACATGTTGTGGAGCAACTAAGCCCGTGTGCCACAACTACTGAGCCTGAGCTCTAGAGCCCGCGAGCCACAACTACTGAGCCCACGTGCCACACCTACTGAAGCCTGTGCGCCTAGAGCCCGTGCTCCGCAACAAGAGAAGCCACGGCAATGAGAAGCCCGCACTGCAACGAAGAGTAGCCCCTGCTCACCGCAACTAGAGAAAGCCCGTGCATGTGCTCGCTTCGGCAGCACATACACTAAAATTGTAACGAGAAAGCCTGTGCACAGCAACGATGACCCAACACAGCCAAAAATAAATAAATAAGTAAATTTATTTAAAAAAAAAAAAAAGGCACCACGTAGTGACAGAGTCAGTCATTTCTCGCTCTACGATTCCTGTCCATAGTCCTCTACCCCACGTTAGGAAAAGGGAAGGGGGTGACCCACAATGGAGTGACGTCACTGCCCGCTGGCTGAACAGGGCTTGCAAATGTAAGTTATCTTCTGTTACAAATAATTACAAAATGCACAAGCCCTGTGCACAGGAGTTCTGCACTTCTCATCCTTATCTGTATAATGTAAACAAACAAGTTTTATTTGTATTAGATTCTAAAGCCGCAAATCAATATATTACACCTTAATCATCCATATTCAAACAACTCACCATCCATCTGGATCCAGTTTCCCCCCTCTACCTGCACTACTATGTGTTTCCATGTCATTCCGTTTATATATCTCTGTATTTCATTCTCTTTTTATTCCCCTCTGCTCTACTGCTCTTTCTCCCCGCCTATTTCTTCCCTCACTCCCGTCCTGCCGCACTCTGCAACTTGTTATTCCTCTTGTTCTTCCTCCTCAACCTTTCTGATTGCCCAAAACCTCCATATATTCCTTCCTCTTTCTCCATCTCTGCTCCCTCTCTGTCCTCGGGTTACACCCCTTCTATCCCTGTCACCTTCCCTTTGACTTCCACTCTCTGGCACCCCACACGGCTACGTCTCCTTCCTGCTCTCTCTTCCTCTGCTCTCGCCTCCAGTTGTCCTCTTTCTCTCCCAGCACCATGTTGCTCTGTTGGCCATTCTCCAAATAAGTTGAACTAGGGACCGAAGAACACTGGGTGTCCACGCAGAAAGACCGGCCCGAGGAGAAGCGAGGACAGAGGGGCGGAGAGGGAGTGAGGGGGTCTCCGGAGAGGGGCGGGCTCTCCAGAATCCCAGGACCGGGAAGAGGACGCGGCCTCTCTGGGAGCGGGGCGGCCAGCGCTGCCCTCCAGAGGGCGAGGCTTGGGGGACGCGCATCCACCTCGCGGAAGAGGGCTTTACAGGCCGAAGGCGGAGACAGTAAAAGGTTTCAAACAGCAAAACGGCGCGAAAGGCGGTGTCTACGTGGACCGAAGGCCGAAAACCCAAGGACCGGGACGGGCCTCAGAGCGATTTCAACCCCAAAGGGAAACGACCCCCACTGTGAATTTCTTTAGGATGTAAGGGCGGGGGCGAGTACTTAAAATTCCGCAGTAAGGGGCTTCCCTGGTGGCGCAGTGGTTGACAGTCCGCCTGCCGATGCAGGGGACACGGGTTCGTGCCCCGGTCCGGGAAGATCCCACATGCCGCGGAGCGGCTGGGCCCGTGAGCCATAGCCGCTGAGCCTGCGCGTCCGGAGCCTGTGCTCCGCAACGGGAGAGGCCACAGCAGTGAGAGGCCCGCGTACCGCAAAACAAAAACAAAACAAAACAAAAAAATTCCTTAGTAAGTCCCACACTCTGAGGATGTATGGGGGGGCTCCGAAGCGCAGACACAGTAGAAAGAAGAAACTCACGCACCGAAGAGTGACTTCAGCTCTCCGTGGTGACCCAGGTTGGTCTCTCCGCTTCCGCGTCCGTGGAACACTGCGCAGGCGCAGAAGGAGCAGCCTGGGGGCGGGGACTGCGAAAGTCGCTTACGCGAGGAGGCGGGGCGAGGAGAGCGACCCAGCCTGCGGGGGAGCCCCCCCAAAGGGCGGGGGCAGGAGACGGGGGCCTCTGCATCCCCTGCCCCACCCCCAGCCTTGCCTGTAAAGCGTCTCTTTAGGGATTTAGAAACTTGTGTCTTTTGAACTCTGTGTAGCCGCTTTGCCTCCTGCTTATTCTGATTTACTGTTGAAACCAAAGGTAGTCACCAGTTAGATCTATTTAACTTACTAAATAAATAATAAACTGTAACCTGATTTTGAGGATCAAGCCCACTGTAATTATTTTTAGGAAAGCTTGCACATCCTGCAAGTGTCATTTAGCTAAAGATGTTTGTCCAAGTTGTTTTTTAGAAACTTGGAGTCAGCCGTATCCAGTTTGATGCCGAGCTGGTTACAACTAGTTAGAACTACTGACCCTCCACCTGCGCATCTGTGAGTGTCGGCTCTGTGACATTTTGACATCAGAGGGCCAAAAACTCCACCTTCTGAACATGCTAAGAGCCATTTTCTGAACATGAGTTCCCTGAAGAAGCCTTTAACTTAGTTGTGCTGGTGCAGAACAAGGATTACCTCATGTTTTTCTTATCTCCAATCACTTTTCCTATGTCCCAGGTCTTGCCATGAGGGAGGTGGGTTTGATATTTGTTCTCCTATCACTTAGCTTGGCTGCCTCATGAATAAAACTTTCCCTGCTGCAAACCTTCATGTCTTGCTGAACATTGGGTCAAGGAACCTGGTTCGGTAAGGTAACAAGATAGGTTAGAGGATCCCCAGAAAAAGAGAACCAGGAATGGCTTTCTTGATATATGAGAAACCATTTTTGCCTTAGCCATTTCGTGATCTAAGCCTGGCCACAATGCTTGCCCTTGAACAGGTCTCAGGAATTAAAGATCTTAAGGGAATAAAGGAATGCAGAAATGTAGCCTGCTATCAGGCAAGAGAACTAACAATAGCAAAGACAATATATCAGTTGTAATGACTCCCAGTTCTGTTTCAATAATAAAGATTAGCCTGAAGCACTCAACCACCAGGTCAACTGGAACCTAAGGGATGTTGATGATGACCTTTCTGACCCTCCTTACTTCAATCAACTAAAGCTTGGACTCCATTGACAGCCCAAGCCCCTTCATGAATAGGCATGTACTTTTAGCTTAAAACATCCCCTTGGACTTCCCTGGTGGTCCAGTAGTTAAGACTCTGCTCTGCGCTTCCACTGCAGGGAGTACGGGTTCGATCCCTTGTCAGGGGTAATAAGATCCCCACATGACTCGAGGCACACCCCCCAACAAAAAACTGCCAATTTTGCTGTTGGTGAGACACAGCATTGGGAAAGATCCCCAGTGTTCTTCTCAACTTGTTGCAGGTAATAAGTCCTTCCTGGGAATTCCCTGGTGGTCCAGTGGTTACAATTCCAGGCTTTCACTGCTGGGGGCCCGGAGTTGGATCCCTGGTCAGGGAACTAAGATCCTGCAAGCCACGTGGCAGGGCCAAAAATAAATAACTAAACAAACCCTTCCTTCTTTCCTGCTTTGCATCTGTTGGCTCCACACCCACTGGAGGACAGTAACACTGTCTCTAACAGTTTTGTTTGCAGCCTTCTCATTGTGGTGGCTTCTCTTGTAGCAGAGCACAGGCTCTAGGCACACAGGCTTCAGTAGTTGTGGTACACGGGCTCAGTAGTTGTGGCTCCTGGGCTCTAGAGCGCAGGCTCTGTAGTTGTGGCACACGGGCTTAGTTGCTCCACGGCATGTGGGATCTTCCCGGACCAAGGCTCAAACCCGTGTCCCCTGCACTGGCAGGCGGGTTCTTAACCACCGCGCCACCAGGGAAGTCCCTTTAACAGTTTTAAGGTAGAAGGTTACATCGTGTGGGACACTTCTGTCAAAAATTTTTTTGTTTTGTTTTGTTTTTGCCTTGCCGCACGGCTTGTGGGCTCTTAGTTCCCCAACCAGGGATCAAACCCCAACCCATGGCAGTGAAAGCATGGAGTCTTAACCACTAGACCACCAGAGCAGTCCTAGAAACAGATGTTTTCCTCAGGACAAGTTGAACATGGTTTAAGTTAAAACCTATTTTTGCTAGCTGGTTGCAGGCAAGTCCTGCTAGTGAGACTGAAGCAATTAACTGGTCTGGAAACTGGGATCTTGGTGAGAGCCTGATGTGGCCGTGATTGGACCCAGGAACATTTCCTGCAAGTATAAAATAACCAACAAGGACCTACTGTATAGCATGGGGAACTATACTCAATATTTTGTAATAAACTATAAGGGAAAAGAATCTCAAAAAATATATATATGTATTCATTTTGAATATATATTATATATAACTGCATATATACATATAACTGAATCACTGTGTTGTATACCTGAAACTAACATAACATTGTAAATCAACTATACTTTAATTTTTTAAAAAAGAAAATTAATTTAGGTGGTTTAACGAATCAAAAATTGCAGTTGTTTGTATAGGGATTACAGACAAGAATGTGAAATGCAAAACTCTCCCTGAGTACAATGGACAGTTTCATACCGACATGCATTTCTGTTTCTATTCAGAAATAGTAACAGCATTTCTGTTTCTATTCCCCATTCACACAGGAGGCCTGCTGGGCTGCACCCAGAAGGCCTGCAAACCTTGTAAATTCGCAGCCTCAAAACCTAAGAAAGAGCCCGGAAACAGTCACAGACACATCAGTGATTCTATTGGATAGGGGATCTTACAGGTCCGAAACAAGGTCATGAAATGACACCCCGCCTTGTATAGCAGAAGGCAGGCAGGCAGGACAGGGCAGCAGTCTTCGCTATTGGAGGGGAAGAGGTAGGTTATCAGTTGGTAGGGGAATTGACCTGAGGTTGGCTCATGGGTTACCAAGGAAACTATCATAGGGGAGCTGTTCTGATCTAAAGAGTAAAACAGTCACTAGCTGGGGCAGAGGGGTAAGCATGTAGGCAGTTGCTGACTAGGCTCTGTGATTAAAAAATATAAATAGATCGTTTTAGGGTCTGCGGAAACCTGGGAGTGTTTCTGACCCTGAAGCGACATACAGTGAGGAGGGAGGACAGGAAAGTGTCAGGGGAGCAGGGAATGAGTAGGGGTGAATTCTGGGCTTATATGGAGGTTTGGTCAGGAAAAAGGAAGGTTCTGGGGGCAGCACCGGGCTTCCCTCTGTTCTGCACCTGGGTGTTTCCTTCTGCCTAACTGAACTGGATCATTACCTTCTGAATCTCTGGAGTCTCTGAGGAGTACAGCTCCTACCTGCTTATTTCAGAGTAATGTTTGAAACAATCAAGGAAAATTCTTAGAGCTGTCATTTTCGGCCACTTATATTGCACACGGTTTTGTTTTGTTTTGTTGGGTTTTTTTCCTTCTTAAATTGAAAAAAGAACTAATTACATGAAAAATTAGGGGGACTTCCCTGGTGGTCTAAGACTCCAGGCTTCCACTGCATGGGGCACGGGTTCCAAAAAAAGAAAGAAAGAAAGAAAGAAAGAAGGAAGGAAGGAAAGAGAGAGAGAGAGAGAGAAAGTAAGAAAGAAAGAAAGAAAGAAAGAAAGAAAGGAAAGAAAGGAAAGAAAAGAAAGAAGAAAGAAAGAAAGAAGGAAGGAAGGAAGGAAGGAAAGGAAAGAAAGAAGGAAGGAAGGAAGGAAGGAAAGGAAAGGAAAGGAAAGGAAAGGAAAGGAAGAAAAAGAAAGAAAGAAAGAAAGACAGAAAGAAAGAGGAAGAGAGAACAGAGGGCAAGAAGGAAAGATTTATGTTTCACTGCAGACATGATAAACTAAGGAAGACAGCCGGGCATGAGTGGGTGGAGACAGGTACACTGGGAGTGAGATGACTGCAACTGAGCCATGGGATGTAGGGTGGGTTCTCACCCAGAACAGGCTCATTTACTTAAGCAAGAGATAACAGAGTTATCTTTGTAGGGAACTGCAGTTGAAAGGTGAAATGCAAAACTCTGCTTGTGCTGACTATTTTCATACTAATGGTATAAGAACATTATTTCCATTTCTATTCCCCTAAAATCCCGGAGGCAGTGACCAACTCTGATCCAGGGAGTGTAGGTCAAGAGGAATCTGACAGTTTAAGTCAAAAGCATTGCTTTATATCATCAATGTAAAAAAAAAAAAAACAACAACAACTTTAAAAACACATGTTAAGTCTTTGGTTCTTTATATTTAATTTGTTGATCTGTTTACAGTCAGGAGGTAAATTGTTATTTCATAAATATGATTGAAATTAAGCCAAATGGCATCTACTTTTTTCAATCAACTGAAATTGTCTTTTGACCAAATTTAAGGTCATATTTGCTGTCTTTTCTATGTGTGTGTTGTAAAGACAAATACGAATTTAATCTAAGAGACTTAATTCCTCTTGTATGTGACAGGAATAGACACAACACAGGCACAAGGAGCATGCAGGGTCCTTCAATGCCATTCAAAGGCATAAACGCTGAGGTTCTTGGGCATGTTTGTTATTATCATTATTAGTTTAAATTTTGTAATATCCCATTATCCAAATGTAACATGTGTATTTGTTATTTTTTGAATTTTGCTTGATGTCACATTATGTAGTGACAATGTTAGACTTTACTCCAATCCTGGAGCTCTGGAAAATAACAAAGGTAAAAGAACTCCTTTTCTTCTTTTCTGCAGATGGTAACAGCTTACTTACTACGCACTATGCTTCCTCTTTAATTTCAGTAAGACTTATGATAGCCCCCTTGTTTACTTTGGAAACAGCAAGAAAGGAATCCGACAAATTACCATCCATTGCTTTATCAACGATTACTGATTTGTTGGTCCTTGTATCAGTGGACACAATGCCTGTTAACATGATTTAATCAAAATTAAGTTTTTCTCCTCTCCCAAATGCCTTACTTTTTGGACCACTTTTGAGGTTTGTAATTCAGAGCAACTTTCCTGCCAGAATATCT